CCGCGGGCTCAGGCAATCCACTCACCTCAGCCTCCCAAAGGCGCAGGATTACAGGCTGAGCCACCAAGCCCGGCTTTATTGATTTATGTATACTGACTAGTGTTTCACAGTTCAATTCTTGACCAGTTCCCTTTCCACAAGATTGCTGCTTTCTGCCTTTCATTCACTCGTGGTTTAAAGTATTCTAAAATTGGGAAAACAGTTTTGAAGGAAAGAGACTATATTTTCTCCTTTTAACATATATACATTTACACAACTGAATTTACACCCACATATATGAAGAAAAGGTAAGCTAAGTAAACATTTAAAAATTTAACAATGTATTATAATTCCCATCCAAAAATAGCAATGCTCATTTATCATTCAAATAGATAATATAATTAAGATCTTACTTATTAACATCTGAACCGAAATCTTCAAGAAATTCCACTTTTCTCTGAGAAAATGTAATTCTCATTTTAATAGGTAATGAACCATGTACAGCTTTGTCAAAACAATTTAAAATATTTTCTTCATTTTGTTTGAGGTCACCACTATATTCCATTTCAAGTAAATTGAGGTATAACTTTGTGTTCTCCTGTGTAAAAAGCAGTATCAATATTTCTAAAATATTTGGATTAGAGCACAGATATTTAAAATGCCTTAATTTTTATGTCTCAATTTGAAAAACTAAATATTGAATGTTGTGTTATATTAAAATATAATTCATGTTAAATGTTTTCAGCATACATCTAAACGGTTGAAAAATTCATTGGCACACTGCTAGGTAATGACATCATCCTAGTATCTGCCAAACAATGCAAATTGTCAAATACCAATAAACTAAAACTCTATATCCTATCTTAGGTTTAATATGACTTGACCTACCATGACAATTAAAAAATAAAATGTAGCCGGGCTCGGTGGCTCAGCCTGTAATCCCGCGCCTTTGGGAGGCTGAGGTGAGTGGATTGCCTGAACCCGTGGGTTCGAGACCTGCCTGGGCAGCGAGACCTCATCTCTACAATAAATCAAAAAATCAGCCGGGCGTGGTAGCGCGCGCCTGTAATTCCGGCTACTCGGAAGGCTGAGGCGGAAGGATCGCCGGAGCCCAGCAGGTCGAGGCTGCGGTGGCCGGGAGCGGCCACTGCACTCCAGTCTGGGTGACAGAGTGAGACTCCAACTCAAAAAATAAAAAAAATTAAAAAAAAATAAGATAAAATAAAAAATAAATAAATAAAAATAAAATGTAAAAAATTATCTCTATGGTTCAAGTCATTTAAATCTTTACTACAACTGTAGATAATATCTTCAACTGCAGCAGGAGGCAAACTGTTATAAACCAGTATCTTAAACAGACCTGGCAACAGCTAAAAATCCTAAAAAAGAAGTTCCCTACACCTTGCCTCCTATCAATTGATATATAAAAAGAAATATGCTGGAAAAGGAAAATCATCTCACTGCTACATATGCTTATAATACAGGAACAGCTATGCTTTTGCTTACAAAGTGTTTTCTGAGGCCCTGTATTCTACTTAATCATCAGTAAATCTGTTGTAAAATTTCTAAAGGGAAATAGAAAGTTATCATAATGCCTTTAATTTTTAATTCAAAATAATGTTTTAAAAAATGGCAACATCAGTTTAGAGGGACTGTTGTCCTCATTTAGTAATAAAAGTATATTACGTACAGACTAAATCTTTCATCACAGTTGCCAAAATGAAAAAAACTGACCACTGGTTTTTTTTAATAGAAAACATTCTAGAAAATACATACTTTGTCTCTTTCAATTGCTTCCAAAAGCACCTTTCTTGATTTTGGAAGGTTTTTTTGTATTTTGAAAAGATGTCGGGCTAGTTTGACAGCATAAAATGATGATTCATTATTTGATCTGGCATTCTTAATGGCATCTTGAAGCAAATGTTCAGCTTCTTCCATATTTCCGTGCCGTCGTTCTAAACTTACTCTTCGTAAACGAACCATTGCTAATCCTAGAACACATTCTTCAAATGTTCTCAAGATATTCCTGGCTTCGTTAATATTACCTAGAAATAGTAATTAAATGTTTATGCTTTTGTTTAAACTTCTGAAATATCCTTTAAACCAGATATTGGCAAACAACAACCCATGGGCTAAATCCAGCCCTCTGCCTGTTTCTGTAAAGATAATGGGAAACACCCATGCTTATTTATGTGCTGTCTATGGTTGCCTTGGGGATATAATGCAGTGCTGAGTGGTTAGAGAAAGAGAATGCATGGTCTGCAAAGCCTTAAATATTTACTATCCTTTAAAGAGAAGTTTGCCAAACTCTGCTTTAAACCACCCTCAATGCTCAATTCCTGCCACTGTATCCTAACATAACTTAAAATTTCAAAAATGTCCATTGAATTTCCTCATTCTTACCCTGCTGTTCCTCAAAAGCTGCCCAAAGCATATGCACCATGGGTTTCTTTGGGAGATGAATAGTGCAAGCTCTGCTGAAGACATGCCTCACTCCTTCAATGCTATGGTTTTCCATGTACTTGGCATACTATATACAGAAAAGAGGAAATACTGAATAATTTACAGTTGAACATGCCATTAAATATGTGACAGAACGATAAAATTCTATTTTTAAACCCATTCAGCACCTTTATTGAACCACTAGACTAGTTTCTGTAAGGAAGGACGAAGAGAGGCAACGAGGTTGGCATATGCAGCAGTCAAATCTGGTTGCAAGCAGACCATCTCCTAATGCAACAGATATAGTTATATGAACAACATTCAACAGAAGTACAAAAAAGGTTAGTCACTAGATCAATGTTTATAATATATTCAAGTTTAAGAGCATACAATGTTCTTACCTTAATCCAAAACTCCTCATAGAGGGCACATGATATGACACATCTTTCAAAGAGAACCACAACTCGTTCATGAGTCCCATTTTCAATTTCAAATTCTAAGTATTCTTTCCAGTTTTTTAGTTGTGCCTTTTCCAATGGTTTCACATGAAAATAAGGTCTTTTAATCTGTAATAAAATTGTAACATGGCAATGAATGTAAACCAATGCCAATACCAAAATATGCACAAATATAGTAATACAAATTATTTGTAATGTAGGTAAATTAATAAAATAAAATAAAAATAAAGAAAATTGTGGGGAAAAACTTGTTTTACTATATACTAAAATGGTGAATTTTGCTATATGTAAAGTATAACTCAATGAAGTTGATTTTTAAGAATCGAACAATTATAATAAAATTATTCAGATTAAGCATTTGCTTAATTCAATTCAAGTAAGTCTGATTTCAACAAGATTCTAAAATTAATAATGGAAATGATAAAATTGAAAATGGAAATGATAAAACTGGTAACAGTAGCAATAAATGATATGAACAAAGTTAGTAAATATGCAAAAGCAACAAAAAATTACAATAGAAACATTACTCAAAATTGAAAGAAAAGTACATTATTCCTATATTTGTATTTTAAAGAGTATTATTACAAAACAAAAACACTTACACCTTCTTCAAATGTCCACCTTTTACTAACTTCATGTTCATTATAATTAAACATTTCTTGATGAATTTCAATGATTCTATGTCTCATGTTTTCTATTTCTGTAATTAGCTTGAAAAGAAAAAAAATTAAATTTTACCAGCTATATGCTGAAATTTTTAAATATCACTGCTTACATTTAAGTATTATCCCAAAACATTTTAGTCTTAGAATAGTGATGTATTTTTAACTGTTAAAAATTATGTGTAAAGTCCAATTAACAACACAAATTTATAACAGAAGTTCCAGATCAACCCTTTCTTTAAAACAAAAAAAAAAACAGAGCTAGGAGGTCACAAATAAGTAAAGTATTCCTTCTAAGCTATCTCCAGGTGTCCCTATAAACAGATTTTTTACCTTAAATCTGTATTTTACCATATCAGCTAACAAATCCCTACTTGCCATCATTAGAAATTAACTTTAAACAAGCTACAAAACACTGGGTAAATGGCCAGCTATAGAATTCATCACTGTGCCACACATGTAGTCAAGGGATATAAAATCTAGTTTCTCATGTACTGAAGTTACCTTTGCAGGATCAGTTATGTCTTCAATTCCCGACGGTAGATCATCACCAGGAGGACCATCATCACCACTATGTCCATTCACAGAAGCTAATTCCCTTCGCAACTGAATAAACTGTTCACCAGTTAAAAGATCTCTAGGCAAGTTATTCTGTACATGCTCTTTAAATCTAAAGGAAAACAATAAAAATCATGCTTAATATTTGAATAAGTTTAGATCCCATAATGAATTATTACTACACATTATTCTGTCAGAGGAACTGATCTAAAGAAACCAAAATATCATACCCTTTCTACTTCCTATCTATAGTGAAATCCTACCATTTGGTAGAAGTCTATAGGCAACTTCATTTCCTTCCTGCCTTTGCAGTGAATGGAGAAGGCATGGACATGCATAAATTCAAATTCCAGTTTTATCTGCTACTAGTTATCTGACTTATGTAAGGCAGGTTTTCCTTCCCTAAATCTTAGTTTCCTCATCCGTAAAATGCTACAATACCTATCTTGCAAAACTGCAATAAAATATGGTAATCCATATTTAAGTTGTAAATGATCACTTGTAAATAACCAACGAATGTCAGCAACTCCTTCTCATCTCACAATTACTCTTCAATCTAGAGGTGTGTGCTCAACAATAAAATGAAATTAATGTAACCAATTACCTCTTATATGTAAAATTGGATGGACACGTATTGTAGTGTTTTCTTCCAAGCCTGAGTGCTTCTGCTCTATCTCCTCCTATACCCCCTTCTTACCTGCCCTAAATGCTAGTATTCCCAAGAATTCCATTCTCCATCTTGTTCTCATTTTCATATATGTTCTGACCAATCTCAATACAGCTTGAAATAATAAGTATACTATGATGACTCTCAAAACTATAAAACAAGTCCAAACCTTTCTCCTAAATTTCAGATTAGCATATCAAACACTCTGCAAAAAGAAATATAGATTAGTTTTAAGCTAATCTATAGAGGTTTCCGAAAAAAATGGCATCTATTTTATTCAAACATGCTAAATTTTTTTGTTTGTTTTGAGGGTTTTTTTTTTGTTGTTGTTTGTTTGTTTGTTTTTTGAGTCAGAGTCTCACTCTGTTGTCCAGGCAGAGTGCAGTGGCACAATCATGGTTCACCATAGCTTCAACCTCCTGGGCTCAGGCAATCCTTCCACCGCAGTTTCAAGTAGCTGGACTACAGGTATGCATCACCATGCCTGGCTACTTTTTTATTTTTTGTAGAGACAAGGTCTTGCTACATTGCCCAGGCTGGTCTCAAACTCCTAGGCTCAAGCAATCCTCTCACTTCAGCCTCCCAAAGTGCTGGAATTACAGGTGTGAGCCATTGTGCCTGGCTCCAACAGTCTAATTTGTATACACACACACTGTGATTGAAAATACTAGCTCAAGGAGTACAAATAGGGGATTCCCCCCAAAACAGAATTTATTTATTTAAAAAACTGTGTATATTGGCCAGGTGGTGGCTCAAGCCTGTAATCCCAGCATTTTGGGAGGCCAAGGCGAGAGGACTCTCTGAGTTCAGGGATTTCAAGACAGCCTAGGCAACTTGGTGAGACCTCGTCTCTACAATAAGTCAAAAATTAGCTAGGCATGGCAGCGTGCACCTGTAGTTCCAGCTACTTGGAAGGCTGAGGCAGAAGGATCGCCTGAGCCCAGCAGTTTGAGGCTGTGGTGGCTGAGAGTATGCCACTGCGCTCCAGCCTGGTGACACAGTGAGACTTCAATTCAAAAAACAAAAAAACAAAAAAAACCCGTGTTATTTATTATTACATGTTTAAACTTCAGTCACCCTCAAAGTACTCTCCATTTGATGCAATGCAATAGTCTCTATTGGAGACTCTTTTACATTGTTCAAAAGTTTCTGAATTTGTCAGTTTTGATGCCTTCTAGAGCTTATGCCATTTTCTGTTTCACCTCTTCCACATCACCAAAATGTTTCCCTTTGAGGATTTTTTCACTGGGGAAATGGCTGGGGATGAGATCAGGCGAATAGGGAGGGTGGGGAATGGGGGGGTCATGTTATTTTTGGTCAAAAGTGCTGAACACTCAGCACAGTGTGCACTTGTACATCTCCCATCATGAAATGGGCAAATGCTAGAAAAAATCTCCAAAAAAATTTCACTGAAACCAAATGCAGTCTCTCACAACAATGCTAACTGGTACACTGGTGCTGATGGGTTCCTAGAACACTCACCTAGTGAGGGAAGCCTGTGCTACAAAGGGTCCACCCTCCAAAAAATAACTCAATTTTGGAGGGGTTCCTCCCTTGTATCTATACCATCTCAATTTGAATGTAGCAGAACCTCGAACACAAAATATCTTAAGCTAAGTGAGTCATCTTCACCTAAAAATGAGCACACTCAGCATTTCTATTCTTGATGAATGATACTGTCAACCGCTAAGTTTCCAATATCTTCCTCCTAGCTTATCACTTACATTCCATTGAATACCAGGTCCTATGGATGGTACCTTCTAAATACATCTTCTTGACTTCCTCACTTTTCACCTTAATAAACATACAATGGTCTTCCAGTCTCTAGTCTCATGACTCTTATCCTCAGCCTAATTTTGCTACCAGAAATGTTATTAGAAAGTAAACAAAAATAAAAATAGTAAACATGATCATTCCTCTCCTGCTAAAATCACTTCAGTGCTTTTATCTGTAATCAGGCTAAAATCTGATCACCTTAGGTAAAGTCTTTCATACTTTGACCCAGGCTTTGACTCAGGCCTACCTCTTCAACCTAATTATTAGCCATGGTTGCACATGTGCCATATGCTCCACCAACCGTATGGGTTTTTCCCCTAAGTTTCTTAAATGAATTAAGACTTTGACAAATGTATGTAAATCACACTAGAAACTAATTAAATGTAATTTCAGATGAATATTAAAACTGAATTGTTGCCAAGATAGATTAAAAACCTGAAATAAGGTAAAACTGCAATATAAGTATTTATAGTACATAAACTTAAAATGATTGCTATATGACATAGAAAGCTTAAAATGATGATAAAATGTGCTTAATATTAAGCAGTAATTTTTCACCAAGTTTTTGAATTATAAAGCTAGTATGTATTCAATAAAGGCTACTTGGGTTGATTTTAGCTCAACCAGTTACCGCCTCATACTAACTTTCCATCAGTAAAGACTAGCTGAGCTCTATTCCTAGGTATTAGGGATACAAAGAATCAAGCCTCAGAAACTGACAGGTATGTAGAAGATATAGGAGACATAAATTCAAAGCAATGTTATTAGTGCTAATATGAATGTATGTAAATGTAGGTACAGTGGTGGCACAAATGACAGCATAGATATCTTAGGTGAAAACTTAAGAAAATTTTACAGAGAAGACACTAAGCAGCGTGGTCTTGAGAAATATGAATTCATCAGAAAAGTGGAAAAGGTGTTACAGTCATAAAGATAATAAAACCACAATGCCCTTTGGAAAATTTTCAGTACTTAGGTGTTTCTAGGGCTTAGAAATTACTAGGGATTGACCTGAAAAGTTAGACCACATCACAAAGTCCTCATGCTAAAGATTTTAAATTTGATGTTATGGTGGGGGGGGGGGAATTTGACGTTATCTCAGAGATAATGTTCAGTGTATATCTACTACATAATAGAAATATTTCTAATACAGCACTTAGGATATTTTTTTTTAACAGATGCCTCCTCCCATATGTTTCTGACCAACTTGCAAGTGAAACCTAAATGACCTATCAACAGACACACAGTAAGTGCTAAGTAAATAGTGTTTAGGAGGGGATATGTTGGGAAAGCAAAAACATTCAATGGTTCTCAAAGCAGTCATGTGAATTAGTTTGCTTATCTAAACTGTAAGATTAATTTGCACAAAAAATACCCGTGAGTTTGCTAGAAACTGACAAGGAAAGTGATTCTCAACATATAAGTGAAAAATAGAAAATATAGCACAATATGTAATACAATTCCACTAATTTCTATAGTTAGCATATACACATTTCTAAAAGCCTAGTGGTGCTGAGAATGAGTTAAAGAAAAATAAATAAATAAATAAATAAATAAATGCCCAGTGGGACAGTCATGAAAAAAAGATCTGGCAGAGAATATCAAGAACTTTGGGGTCACACTGGCTTCCAACTACTTACTGTGACCGCATGTAAATATTTTAATTTTTCTGTGCCTCCACTTTTATAAAATGAGGATAACAACAGTCTACTTTAGTGTGTTGTTATGGGGATTATGTGAGTTTTAAAGCACTCCGTGCAGTATCTGAGAGATAGCAAATGCAGTATGTGTTTCCTAGATAATATTTTTTTGTTATAAGTAAAATTCTTGTAATTATAGAGTTTACTAATATTTTAAATCATAGAAGAATTAGTCTACGAAAAGCCCCCTTTCTCCCCCGGTCCAGGAGACTTTAGGTAACTTCATATTCATTCATATTTCAAAGATTGGGTTTTTTCCACCTACCTCTGAAAGTGATGACTATACAGCTGTGTTGGAATACCAAGAATACGATCATATATAGCTGTAACTTCTCTCAGGTTTCCCTGTTCATTTTCCCAGTTTATATACATTTCCCATAGTCTGTCAGATCGGAAATCTGTTCCTGCAGCTAGAACGGCATGCTCAAAAGTTCTGAAAAATTAAATTACTCTTAAGTTATCTTTTCAAAATCAAAATCACTTTAAAAATATTATTTCTAAATTTAGAAGATACTGCTAACTTCAAAAAATTATATCCAACTGCTTCCTACACAAGCAGGGATTAAAAAGTAGACTTTAAAAAGATTTTAAAAAACAGAAAGTATACAATAGCTGCTTTAAAAAAGACTGAGTGAAAAAACAAAGAAAATAGATAAATGTATTTTTCTTTTTTTGAGTTGGAGTCTCACTCTGTCACCCAGACTGGAGTGCAGTGCAGTGGCCGCTCTCGGCCACTGCAGCCTCGACCTGCTGGGCTCCAGCAATCCTTCCGCCTCAACCTTCCAAGTAGCTGAAACTAACAGCGCACTACCACGCCCAGCTAATTTTTTGATTTATTGTAGAGATGAGGTCTCGCCAAGTTTCCTGGGTGGTCTCGACCCTGCGGGCTCAGGCAATCCACTCACCTCAGCCTCCCAAAGCGTGGGATTACAGGCTGAGCCACTGAGCCCGGCTGATAAATGTATTTTTAATGTGATGTTATCTTATATAAAATTACACACTGTAAACAGGTAAGAACGATTCAGTAGACATTTAAGTATTTGTTAAACTTCAAATGTCTGTTGTATAGATTCTTTTACAGCAAAAGATAAAACTAAAACAAATAAAATTTACAGAATGGCAAATTTTCCTCAATTTAAGAATATTTTCTAGCAACAATAACTCTCGATCAAGGAATCCAGCTGCCTTGCAAGGTAACAAGAAATATACACATATTTTAAAACTCTCAAAATCCCCTCTCAATTCTATAATTAAAGTTTATTATAAAAACTAGTATTTTAGTCAGACATGGTGGCTCACGCCTGTAATCCCAGCACTTTGGGAAGTGGAGGCAAGAGGATTGCTTAAGTCCAGGGTTTCAAGACCAGCCTGGGCAACTTGGCAAGACCTTGACTACAATAATAAAAAAATTAGTGGGATGTAGTGGAGCATGCTTGTGGTTCTAGCTACTTGGAAGGCTGAGACAGAAGGATAACCTGGGCCCATCAGGTCAAGGCTGCAGAGGCTGTGAATGTGCCACTGCACTCCAGCCTGGGCATCAGAGTGAGACTGTGGCTCAAAACAACAGAACAACAAAAAAAGCCTAGTATTTTTTAAATACTAAATACTCATTTCAAAAGATTTCTGTAAGCAACTTTAATCATTGGATTAGATATCCTAATAGGATAAAACTTTTAGATACATATGTTTAAAAAAAAACAGCATAAAGAGGAATTTTTTATAAGTATAAAACCATGCTCTTTAAATTAACCTATAACTTTAACACAATTCCAATAAAGCTCTCCTAAATGTTGGGTGGAAGAAGAAAACTCTTTTCTAGCATACAAGAATGAAAAATGCAGCAGGCATTTTCCTGAAAGATGTCAAATACTAGGAAGTCATAGTAATTACAAGTATGGCACTGACCCAGTAACAGAAAAATGGACCAACAGAACAGTACACAAGAAAAGAAAAAACAGAACATTTAATGTATGATACAAAAGGTATTTTAAATTAATGCAGAAAGGCTGAACAATTCAATAAAAGAAAAATATGAAAGGTTAATATCTATCTCATAACAAATATAAGTTAAATGCCAGATAAATGAACGACCAAAAAAACTACGGAAAAACTAGAACAAAATACAGGATCTATATATTCGTAGCAAGAATATACAGGCACAAGCCGGGCTTGGTGGCTCAGCCTGTAATCCCGCACCTTTGGGAGGCTGAGGTGAGTGGATTGCCTGAGCCCGCGGGTTCGAGACCCGCCTTGGCAACTTGGCAAGACCTCATCTCTACAATAAATCAAAAATCAGCCGGACGTGGTAGCGCGCGCCTGTAGTTCCAGCTACTCGGAAGGCTGAAGCGGAAGGATCGCCGGAGCCCAGCAGGTCGAGGCTGCGGGAGCCAGGAGTGGCCACTGCACTCCAGTCTGGGTGACAGAGTGAGACTCCAACTCAAAAAAAAAAAAAAAAAAAGGAATATACAGGCACAAAACTTAGTAGCCAATATAAGTTTTGTGATTGCAAGTTGAATAATAGTTAGAAAAAAAATAACTCCATATCATAAAAGACACCCTAAACAAATTAAAGATATACCAACAGTGGCAGAAATATGTTTACTTTAGACAGAAAAGATTAACATGTATATGTACGTAAGGTCTTCAAAATAAAATAGATGTTACTGTCCCTGCAGAACCCCAAATGATTTAGAAAATTAACATACCAGACACAATCGTACAAAGCATGGAGGAGGAGAAAAGAAGAAAGGTAATAAAAGACAGAATGTTTAGAAGCTGATCTGCTTAATAAATAGCAAAAAATCAACTCCCTTTCCCGCCCAGCTACAGGATTTCAGAAGCTAGGTTTCTGTTCCCTAGACAGATCAGATGATCCCCTCCTGAAGGAATTGCTTGGTCCAGGAAAAAAATACAAGGTGACCAACACAGGGTGTTCCACAACAAAAAACTGAATGGCCACATGATCACCCTACTGTCCTCCAGGCCAGCTGATAATGCCCCACACAGAACACACAATGCTTCCATATAGTTTGTTGTATATAATCTTTAACAGGACAGAATTCCAAAGATCAGGTATTTCAGACATAAAGACAGGTAAACAAAAAAACTTTGGAGGAACGAGTCCTAGAAACAGAGAAAAGCTTCAACTATCCTTAATAACCTCAAAGAGATAACAGAAAGATATGCAGCCATGAAACAAGAATAAAAGGAACATTCAGAGAACCAAAAGATTTTGAGATATTAAAAATCTGATGGTAACTATTAAAAATCCAATATCAGGGTCAAGGAAATACTGCAAAAAGCCTGACAACATCTAAGAGATGAAAAACAGGGAGGAGATAAGAAAATTCAATGATAAAACAGGAGGTCCAAGCCAGGCTTGGTGGCTCAGCCTGTAATCCTGTGCTTTGGGAGGCTGAGGTGAGTGGATTGCCTGAGCCTGAGGGTTCGAGACTCGCCTGGGCAACTTGGCGAGACCTCATCTCTACAGTACATCAAAAAATTAGCGAGGCGTGGTAGCACGTGCCTGTAGTTCCAGCTACTTGGAAGGCTGAGGTGGGAGCGGCCATTGCACTCCAGTCTAGGTGACAGAGTGAGACTCCAACTCAACAACAACAAAAAAAAACAACAAAACAAAACAGGAGGTCCAATATGCAACTACCAAAAACAACAGAGAAAATCAAGGGAAGAAAATTATCAAAATAAGACTATTCATAATAACAAGGCTAAAAATAGAAGGAGCATAAGTATCCCAGATGTAAAAGACCCACTCAAAAAACACAATGGAAAGAAAGAAAATCCACACCAAACACATAATTATAAAATTGCATTTACAAAGATAAAGAGAATATCTAAAAGCATTCATCGAGAAAAAAAATCAAGTCACAGAGAATCCAAAAGAACAGTATCAGATGTTTCAACAGCAACAACAGAAGCTATAAAAGAATAAAGAGATTCTTCAAAGCTATAAGGAGAAACTTCTATACCCTAACAAACCTAAAATTATTTTTTCATTCCAAGCATCCTTTTTTTTTTTTTTGAGTTGGAGTCTCACTCTGTCACCCAGACTGAAGTGCAGTGGCCGCTTCTGGCACCGCAGCCTCGACCTGCTGGGCTCTGGCGAGCCTTCCGCCTCAGCCTTCCAAGTAGCTGGAACTACAGGCGCGCGCTACCACACCCGGCTAATTTTTGATTTATTGTAGAGATGAGGTCTCGCCAAGTTGCCCAGGCGAGTCGCGAACCCGCAGGCTCAGGCAATCTACTCACCTCGGCCTCCCAAAGTGCTGGGATTACAGGCTGAGCCACCGAGCCCGGCCCCAAGCATCCTTTATTAGGAAGTTATGGAATACACTCTTCTAAAAGGTGGACATGAATCAAGAATGAGATCTAATAAACTCTAATAAACAAGGCATGAAACCCAGGAGTGAGGTAAAGACGTTTTCTAGAATCATAAGGAAATCCCAAGACAACTGCTTTATAGTGGAACTAGTCCATGTTACAGTAGAGAGGGTTCCAGGAGGGGCAAGTCAAAGGAGAGGAAAAAATTGGGACTTACAAATTATCTGACAGGTCTGATGTATAGAAAACTATATTTAAAGCATTTATTGCTGAAGGGTACAAAAAAAACCTCTTAAATGTTCAGGCCAGGCATGGCGGCTCACACCTTTAAACCCAGCATTTTAGGAAGCTGAGACAGGAGGACTGCTTGAAGCTAGGAGTTCAAGACCAGCCTGGGCAACATATCAAAACCTTGTCTCTATAACAATAAAAATAAAAAGTGGATAGGTTATTGAAACCTATCCAGTGACTATATTGGAAAGAGAAGAAATGAGAAAACCAGGAGGGTGTAAGTGAGCTAAAATTCTTATCTATCATAACAGACATATAATGTCTACAACTAATAGAGAAAGAAAGCAGGACACTAACCATGAGGGAGTGGAACAGGGAACATGAGGAAAGGGGATGGGGAATGGAGGAGGGCTTTATTATCTGCATTTTCATATAAACATAAGTTTATTACACGTATCATTGCTTTAAAATAGTGAAAAAGAAAAATAAAAGTTAAATTTTAGCTTAGCACAACTGAATTGTACTATCAGCATCAGAATACTTATTCATATCTTTTTTTTGTTTTTTTTTTGAGTTGGAGTCTCACTCAGTTGCCCAGACTGGAGTGCAGTGGCCGCTCCCGGCCACCGCAGCCTCGCCTGCTGGGCTCCGGTGATCCTTCCGTCTCAGCCTTCCTAGTAGCCGGAATTACAGGCATGCGCTACCACGCCCGGCTGATTTTTTGATTTATTGTACAGATGAGATCTCGCTGCCCAGGTGGGTCTCGAACCCGTGGGCTCAGGCAATCCACTCACCTCAGCCCCCCAAAGGCGCGGGATTACAGGCTGAGCCACTGAGCCTGGCTTATTCATATCTTTAAATACATTTGAGTATTAATGTTTCACATACCCTCTTATAGTACTGTTTGTCTCAGGATCACCAGGGTCCAATGTTTCCTTTAAGAAGTTTATATAATGTATCCAAAGGTCAACACTAAGAGGTATTGCCTGAAGCCCCCGACGATAAACCTAAGAAGAAAACAGCAAACTGTACTTCAAATATTTAGTTATTTCTTAACAGAGAGGCAACACTGTGTTATCCGGTGAACCTTAGAAATACTAATTACTGGAATTTTGTTTAAATAATCTACCATTACCATTTGGGTGGAGGTTGGATAGAACATGGCAATGTTCTGATCCCCACGTGCAGAGTCTTGATCTTCAAAGCGCAGCAGTCCCTGCATTCTGACCGGGTTGTGTGGGCAGGCTTTGGGTTACAGACCATAGGGCACAGACCCATTAGAGCATCAATGACAGCGTCTGACCAAAAATGCAATAAGACGTAGCAAATGTGACTAGCAAACCAACTATATTGTTTGGAAAATGAGAAATAAATGTAAGTGAGAGAAAAGCCCTGCCCTACTTGTTAAGCTGCAGTGTAATACAGAGGCTTGCACTGCAAAGCTTGACAAACTGTAGAGGTTTAACGCACCTGCCAACAAAGAGAGAAAATATTAGCTACAAATGCCACAAGAGTGACAAATGCAAATAAAATACCCTATAAAAATTGTTTGATCATAAATGGTAGGTACTGCCAGCCAAAAAAGAAAAATCTTTGTTTTGCTATTAATTGGCTTACAGTACCTAATGGAGATAACTGTATTCAGTGATGTACGCACCTCATCTGATTGCTTAATGTTGTCATGCCGCTTTTCAAGGTCTGCATACTTTTTCCAGTAACCATAGCAATATGGATAGTGTATGAAAAATTTGTCAAATGCCTTCCTGGCAGCCATCAAGTGATTCTGATGAAAATAAAACAAGGTATTTAAACATCTTGAAAATGTGCATCAAAAAAATGCTTGTTATTCCTTTTAAATGTATTATTTCAAAAAAAAAACAAATAAATGACTGGCTTAATAACCACACACACAGTAACCCTTTTGACTGTAAATACAATCAAAACAAAAAGAACTAACTTTGACAACTTTTTATTTCAGTAATTTTACACACACACATACACATATCCCAATCATCACAAAGCATTAGGCTCTGATTCTATAAAGGCTAACTCTCCACAATGTACAAAAAGTTGTAATTTTCAAAACCAAAATGTATTTAATGTTATTCAACTTAATCTGAAAATTGTCTGAGTCCACTTTAATTCAGGCCTGTTTTGCTGTAAATTGATACTACTTGATGAGTGTGTACCTTCTGATACCATTCAAATAGTTACTAACCTCCTGTTCTACATACTGAAGCAAATATACCCAGCCTGTAAAATCCTGAGGATTATTTTCTATAGTTTTCCAAAATTTGTCATATTCTGGAGGGAAATTTGCTTCTGTTTCTGTCAGTGTCACTGGAAGGTCCACAGCATTTGCCATTTCACTTTCTTCTGTAGATGCATTCACATTGGGAGAGTCATCAGGTGACTGTTCCATTTCTGTAACATTCATAATCTCAGTACTGAAATCAGCAGGATGTTCTACTACCTCCGAACTGTTGCCTGTGCTGCCATTACTAGAATTTCTGTACTCATCCATGTGAGAATTTTGCATAGCTATTTGTCTTCAGTTAATAATCTGTGGAAACACACAAAAAAGATAAACATCTTCCAAATGCTAATAAAATTATTTGGCATCACAACATCTTTTAAAAAATCCAAATGAGCTATTAAAAAATGATAATTTGATTATTACTCTCCCATATAAGTCAGAATCAGAAGGATTAGTTTCTATACTATAAAGGAAATTACATAACATGTATTCTTTAAAAAACTACCATTTGTTTTTGGTATTTGAATAAAAACTAAATAACTACAAATTTAGTTCCTTCATTCATAAAACAAGTGAGTACTATGCCTGTTCTCTAATGAAGCAATTATTTAACATTTAATGTTTCTTGGCTGCCTAAGAATCTAAAATTCAATGAATGAATGCTATCTTGCTATCAATCATTGGAAAACAGCAGTATCTTTAATAACTGTTCTGGGAACTAAAAGCAAAACTGACAAAACAAATTCTAGTTATGGATACACACTTTTCAAAAAGATTATAACTCAGTTCACAGTAAAGTTTTAGAAAACCTATTTATTAATAATAAATTTTAAATCCTGGCAACTAGGTTTGAATTTTATTATAGAAAATAAAAATACAACCCCTTCAGGTCCCCTCCCACAGTGGGAAGTATTCTGTCCTCTCAATAAATCCTGCTTTCTCACTTTAAAAAAAAAAAAAAAAACAAATTATGGTTTTAAAAAATTAATGAGCAACTTTTAAAAAGTGAATGTTATTAAAAAACACATCTAAGAATAGTAATTGCATAACATATTTAAAATTATGTCATCTAATTTTTAATGCCATAAGATAATTACCATCACCTCTTCTCCTAACAATTTATTTTTTATTTTATTTTATTTTTTTGAGTTGGAGTCTCACTCTGTTGCTCAGACTGGAGTGCAGTGGCCGCTTCCGGCCACTGCTGCCTCGACCTGCTGGGCTCCGGCAATTTTTCCACCTCAGCCTCCCAAATTGCTGGAACTACAGGCATGCGCTACCACGCCCAGCTAATTTTTTTATTTACTGTAGAGATGAGGTCTCATCAAGTTGCCCAGGCGGGTCTCGAACCCCCGGGCTCAGGCAATCCACTCACCTTGGCCTCCCAAAGTGCTGGGATTACAGGCTGAGCCACCGAACCCGGCCTCTCCTAACAATTTAAATGGAAATCTAATCATTAAATTATAGGGCATTTTTTTAAAAGTAGAAAAATGGTTCATTGAAAATGCTTCAAGGGAGCAGCAGGCAGAACAGTGATAAAGGAGCTCTCCACATGTCTCATTTTTTTTTTAAAGTGAGGGATTATTCTCAAAACTAAACAAACCATAAAAATAATGTAGTCTTAAAACTACTCAGAATACATTACTACTTAACATAGTTCAATGTTAATTTAAAAGATAAAGCCGGGCTCAGTGGCTCAGCCTGTAATCCTGCACCTTTGGGAGGCTGAGGTGAGT